ACACACACACACACACACACACACACACACACACACACACACATACACACAGACACATTTCCTTATCTAATTATGTATTCGCTGATTTTTTTTTCATTCGTTCTCAACTATTTACTCTTACAATTTTCTGTTTTATTCCCTCTCTTCCCTCTCTATACTTCCATTCTTTATTAACTAAAACTAATTACTGAACTATTGCATATAAATTGAAAATTTTATTCTATAATATAGAATGAAGCAAATTTATATGCAAATTATCATTAATGTTTAGCAATGACTGGAAGTGGAAGCGTAATTACAATCAATAATCAAATTTGAAACCGAAAATTAAAATTTGAGATGATGTTATGGTATTTTGTGGATTTTGTTCAACAATTTTCTTCATCTATCAAACAAATCATGCAATCTTGCACTTGACCCTTAATCTCGCACACTCACTTGACCTTTAATTTGCATAATTAATGAAATTCAGATAAAGCTAGCTAGATGATATTTTGGACAAAAGTTTCTTGATCGCAATACCTATTGACTTTACACTAAACGGCCTAATAATTTACTTATCATTATTAACCTGTTCTTCTCATGTTTATTCATTTATTCCTTTCAGGATTAGCTTACCGGAATGATACATGAAACGTTGTTATGCTCAAAAATCGATATCAAATGGCAATTTTTAATTACATTGATTTGAATTTATTTAACTTTGACAATAGTTGTTGATCAAATTCTTTTTGTTCATACTTCATATTTACCGGATAGATTGGAAGATGATGTCATTTTCAACATTCATGAAAATACGACTCATCACTTTGACGTATTAACAAAAGATCGGAATCATTTTGGAAGTAATGAAAATAAATAAACAATTCCAACTCTAATTTATCGTTCAGTTTTTATTCATCCATGTTCCCTTGTAAATTTCAAAGTTATGCTTAAAACATATTAAATTAAGCATGTAAAGTAAATTTGATTCAACTAAAACAGGTCATCATGCTGTCATATGATAGTTTTATGAGGCGCAAAAGTTAAGATTCATACATTTCTGTTATCAGTATTAAGACATTGGGATTTAAACGATTACCTAATATGATATGTAATTACTTAAATTATTTTTACTTTACAAAATAATCGAAAAATTATTCGTAATTGTATGGTCTGAAAAAAAAGGTTTTTTATATTAATTTGACTTACTGATTAGCTTATCATTTTTTTTAACAAAATCATTCTTTCGTTTCATTTTTCAATATTCTAAAGTTTTGGGAAATTTTAAGGTAACATTAAGCTAATAAATGTAAGCCTAAGCCTATAAAAGATTTAATGTGTATTTCGCACAATTATGCAGTTGATATTTGCATATTTATCAGTTAATTGAATTTATGCTATGACAAATTGTCCCAATTAAAATTACTCACGACATATTAGATTAAATTTACTTGCTAGTATTGAAATTTAGTGAAATTTTTTGCAACATCAGTTTCCTTACATATGCTTAGTTTTATTTTCTGTTTAGCCTGATCTAAATGAACGAAAATTTGGCAGAAAAAAAAACTTATTCAGAAATCATGCTTAAGTCCAAAATAGTGATGTTAACAGGAATATAGTTGACCAGCCGATGACTGGACATTGCATGTTTAAGTGGACATTTCAATTCGAACGTCCTGCATAAAATCCGGCTGAGAATTCTCTAGCAAAAGTATTTAAAATGTAACTTTCACTCTTTTAAAACAGATTTTTCGCAGTGTCGTTTTTTTTTTAAAATTCTATCGCATAGTTCCATTTGAAATTAACCATCAGATGATAAATATCGGTATCTTAAGAATCAAATGACACAAAATGCAAGTACGACTAATTGAGTTTGTAAATTTAATTTTTTGAAAAGTTTAAAAAATTGTTGAGTTATATAAATTTTTAGATCTTAACTATAAATTAATAATGGGAAATTATTAAGAAACACCCACTACTAACAATTTTCTGTTAGGTTCAAATTCAGCACACCTGTTATCAATTATACTTATGATAAGAATAACTCTCTTCTGGTTTTGATTAAATTAATTAATTCTTCTGGTCTACAATTATCATTTATCGGGAAATTATTATCGTTTGGTTTTATGACTTTTTCATTCCGAATTCATTTTTTCTTTTTGTTCAGAATTTTATTTTAATTTTCATTAATTAATCATTCAACCAGTAATACTACAAATCATTCTGCCATTGATATTCGTTCGAAAAAAAAAAGAAATTTATATCTATGAGACTGCATACAAACTATTTGCTGTTTAGTGGAACTTGTCAAAATGCTTGAATTTCAAAATTTGAAGTCTTTGAAATTTTGAGTTTTCTAAAATACCTAAAAGGATATAAACCAAATGTCATTGTTGTAATTGGAAAGATAGCCTAGATTGACAAGTCCCATATTGTCTAGATTGGTAAGTTTCACATAGCCTAGATTGACAAGTTTCACATGGCCTAGATTGGAATCGGATGATAATTGTATTGGATAGTACTAATATAAAATTAAGTCTAACTCAATCCTGCCTTTATCACTAAAATTATCCTTACTTTTTAGAGCTTACTCTTCCTACCTGTATTATTATATGGATAGAATAGGTAGGATAGGTAGCTCGCTTACAAGTAGCATTGATAAAAAGAATTTCAATTAATTAATTAAAATATAAGATAGACTTCATTTCTAAATCTTTCCTGCAGAAAGTCATTTTTAGCAGGAATCTTTTTTCACGTTTATGGTTTTTATCAATTTATCATTCATTTAGATCAGTTCATATGATTTGTAATGATTTTATATGCAAAAGGGTATTTTGAAGTGAGCAGGAAGGTCATCATAAGATAAGGAAAGTTTTTCACAACATTGATATCAAGGATGATAATTTTTTGATAATTTGGTTATAAAGAGAAGTTTCGAGAAGGATTATATTTGAAAATCTTATCAGCGGATGATCTAATTTCCTCATCTTCTGAGATCATTTTTAATTTACCGGTTAGGCAGGAATTGAAAGTATGAAAACATATTAACCAAAATCCGATCATTTAAATAAAGTATATCTTTTCGATAATTGGAATAATTGCATATTGAAATTAATGGTAATATATGAGATTTTTCCGAAATGAAATCAGGTTCAAGATATCGATCATTAATCCGTTTTGGTTAAACCATTCGATCAAAATAATTTATTTACTGTTCGTAAGCAGTTTTAAACGCTTTATTCTTGACGTTCATACGTTTGTATTTTCACGTAAATGATTGATGCTGCTATTCAGTGACGGTGACGTGGATGATTACACAAAAATAAGAAGAAAAAAAAGGGTTAAATACCATATGATACATTGAGCGTGATGTGAAATTGATCGATGATGTTATTCGATGATGGTACTGGTGGTAGTGGTGGTGGTGGTGATGATGATGGTGATGATGATGGTGATGGTGGTGTTGATGATGATAATGATGATGATGAGCTCATGATGGTGCGAGTAATAGTGAGAGAATTAAGACTTAGTTCTCGCCTTCTTGGCCACTTTCAGAAACACAGAACTGCGTGGTGGACATGGGCAGTAATGAGCATCTGGACCTGGTAGACCCGGACTTCCAGGCTGAAATTTCAACGAATGACTTTTTTTTTGCTTCAGAAATTTTGAGAAAAGAAATTAGGTTTGTACTCTCAGAAAATATAGTAACTTACTTGAATCGAATTACCATATTTATAAAATTTTGATTTTGTTTAGTTATTTTTAAAAAAAAGAGATAAGAAAGTATTAGTTCTGGGAAAATATTCTTCTAATTTGACAAAAGCGGTAACTTACCGGTCCTGGTCTACCGTCTCCACCGCGTCTGCCGTCATTACCATCCCTTCCTGCTGGTCCTTGTTCACCTGGTTCTCCATCAGCACCTCTTTGTCCATCTTGGCCTGGAGATCCTGGTGGTCCCCGTGATCCAGTTGGTCCTTTCGGTCCTTGTGGCCCAGTTCCGCGTTTGCCATCTTTACCTGGTGGTCCTGGTTGTCCAGGTGTTCCATCGAGTCCCGGCTCACCTGGTTCACCTTGTGGTCCCTGTTGTCCTGGTCCACCTCGTGCTCCTGGTCTTCCATCTATACCCGCTTTTCCAGGTGGTCCATCTTCTCCAGCTTCTCCTATTGGTCCTTCTGGTCCCGCTGGTCCCGCTGGGCAATCGATGCATTCACGTGGTGGAGGCGGTGGTGGTGTAAGAGCCGGTGGACCTGGTGGTCCATCTCCACCAGGCGGTCCATCCGGTCCTTTTTCACCTATATCTCCACGTGGACCTGGTGGGCCCCTTGGGCATCCTTCTGCGCTCGGTCCACAATCTGCAACATGCCATATCCTAAATCTATTCCCAATCATTGCTAAATTTTATTTTCCTTCTTAAAGCCACAGAATTGTAAATGTTACACGAAAAACTGTATCAGGACTTACTACATCTTTCAGGAAATTGAAATTGTCGCTTGAATCTCGCAAAAAGACTGGAGAAAGTTGGAGTTGCTTCAGTATTACCGGAGGGATGCATGTGTAACAACAGTATCCTTTGCCATGTGTCATCTGCTACAGTCTACAAACGGAAATCCTGATCATCGGGATTAAATCGATTGCAGAGATGTGGATGAATGAATGGATGAAGATTGCATGAGTAAGAGAAACCGGAATAAGAAAATAATTAAACATGAATGGCGTAGATTGTAGGATTAAAATGAATGAATTGATTAGTTCTCATCAATGTCTCAAATTAAAATTTAATTAAGTTATTAAGAAAGTGATTTAAGCCCAGCGTCATATTACTAGCAGGATATTGATTTCTAAATTTTCCATTTAAGACAGAATTCATGAATTCTCAAGTGTTTGACAAAAATTCGCAACGCAATTTTACTTCACGAAAAGAGAATGTCAAAGATAAAATAGGAGGATGACAGTTAGCATTAATAATTTTTGAAAATTTTCACTTTAAAAATCTTATGTCCATTTCAAAAATTTGGAAATTGAGCATAAATTTTGTTTGAAATATGCAAAATAAGAACTTTAAGAAGTACTTTTTAGTTGTTTGTCAAAGAAAATAGATTTAAGAAAATTTTAAAATATTGTCCTTCTTTCAAATCTTAATCAAAATTTTTATTAATTTTATAATTTCATTCGTTATTTTCTCTTTTAATTAACTTTAAAATTTAATATATCACGTCAACTGTAGAGAATGAATGCTGAAAATTCTTCAATTATTATTCGATGAAAACAAAAGAAGATAATTATTGATAATTTTATTAATTTAATTACAAATATACTAACCTTAAATTGGCCCATTTCATCCATAACATCGTCATATAATGTATTGATATCGTTGTAAATGATGCAAACAGCAACCAAAGAAACGATTATCACAAAGACGCTGCATGCCGTAGCAAGACCCACGAATACCTTCACGCTCATCTTGCTACCTGAAACGTGTTTAATTACGTGTATCCCATTAATGATGATTAAAATATGAAAAGATTTTTAACTTTAATAGGTATTCATACTTAATTAAATGATCAAATTTAATTATTTGTAAGTAATCGTTGATATCTTATACATGATATAACTTCATCTAATAATTACCATCTATATTAATCCATTATAGTTATTTCAAAAAAAAAAAACTATTCAAATTTTTCCATTATCGAAATTTTTCAAAATGATTTCAATTATCAAATTTTAATTATTATAAATTTTTCACTGAAATATATTATGCAAACTTTTCTTAACTAATACATAAAATATTGGTAATTATGAAAAGGAATCAAATACAATAAGAGGATCACAGTAATAGTGGTAGTTGTCAACTACCGAACTTGAATCATTTATGATATTGCTAAAAGAAGGGAAATGAAACGCTTATATTTTCGGTATAATGTCGTTCATGACCGCCTCCTACCAATATTTTCTTACCTTTTTTTTTCTGTCTAATATATAAAACCAAATGGTGCCACAAAATTGAAAGCAAGTTTTGTGGGAACTAATAGAAAAAAATATTTCGTACGCTAACAATAATTTATCATTTACTTTAAAAAAAAAAAAAATAGAAATACTTTTCGTTCTCTTTTTCTTAAATGATATCTGTTAACCCTCAATCAATGATAAGCAATAGGACATTTTATTGTCATCTTAACATCCCTATTTTTTTCGTCATTTTTACATACCTTTAAAATTTGGTTGATTGGTAACGAGTACAATGGTAATTGATAGGCAAAAACAGAAATCATTCCCTTCAAATGATAAAACAGTAATGTCTTTCTGAATTGAGAATGAGAGAGTGTGATCGTGTCATCTGTCAATTATTCTAGATACTGTGACATTTTCACTTGTCCTCTTTCAATCTTTCCATTTTTCTTTCTTTCTTTAAATTTTCTTTTATACTCTAAAGCAGTTATTTTGCTATTTTTTGTTTCATCAATTTTCAAAAGGACAAAAAAAAAAAAAAAAAATAGTGAACGAATAACTGAGACATTTTCCAGGAGCGCAGCGCACAGTTTTGTCTGAACCAATGCCGCCAGTAATAAAATGAACCTTTCTTTTTTCAGTAAACTTGAAAAATTTTTCGGTTAATAATTGAAAAAAAAAAAAAACTATGCAAAAAGAAAATGAAACGAAGGAATTTTACAAATATCACAAATGAAAATTATGAATATTACCAATCATTAAAGCCATCTTCAGATGTCCAATAAAAACGACAATCTCATCAAATTAATTAATTAGTAGTCATTATTAAAACAAGCGAAATTCATTGTGATTAAATACTCCGTATACAATTAACAAATTTGATATCTATAAAGCCGAAAAGTATCCAATTAATTAAGCCTTCAAGAAGTTAGATAGATGCTTAACTGATGATATCAAATGATTTTATCACTGATTACATATTCTATTCGAACAATATTTGAAATATGAACAATTTTTATATCGATCCAATCGTACATTTCTCACAAAAATGTGTTTTGATTAATTCACAAAATTGCTATTTTCTTTCATAATTTATGCAAATTTTTTCAATTCTAAAGTATTTAGCCATTTTTTTTGTTTTTTTTCATTTCATTTATCAAAAAAAAAAATGTCCAGAATATTTTTGTCATTTTTCTAGAAATTACTATTTTAGCATTTTTTTTTTTTTTTCATTCGAAAAGATATCATTCCATGCATCAATCGTTCCCAAATCATTCGGCTATTTTTTAAATTATTTAATTCTATTCATGTTAAAATTAAAATTTAATAATTCGAAAAGCTGAATTTTTTCTGGAATTTATTTATTTTTGCAACCATTAAAATATGTTATATTTTGGAAATGTTAAGAAAAGCGCAAAGAGCAGAAACTATTTTTGTTACTGTACAATAAAAGTTGGAAAGATTGACGAACCAGAAAATTGTCACCAAATGGAAAAGTACAGGCAAGTGGAACGGCAAACATTTCTCATTCCAAACATTTATTTGTCTGTGAAAAAAAAAAAAAGAAGAATGTAGCAGAAATGAAATTTTTTTTTCCCAATAACAACTACTACTGATTAGTTGTTATGGGCGGGTTATGCAAATTGTTGAAAAATGATGAATTCCCATAGTTGGCTTAATTTAAAAACCATTGGGAAAAAAAATTGATAATTGAATAATTCTTGTTGATAAAGCAATCAATATAATGTAATATTTGATTAACTTTTGAATTTATCAAAATTAAATTAACCAAACAAATGTTATCACCAATTATCATTTTATTATTGTCCTTCTTATTGGGATAAATGTATATACAATGGATTAAAAGTTTTCAAAATTATCATCAAACGGCAGTATTATAACGTCTAATGAATGGTTGAGCAGTAATTAATTCATCTGTTAATTTACTCGATTTTGATTCAGATGATTTCGATGCTTCCTGCAAATAATTTTATTCTTTTGTTGAAAAAATTAAATTACAAATAAATGGTAAATGTTTTCTTTCTTTCCTTTTTTCCTTTTTAACAAAGCTAAGAAGCTTAACGAAATATGTCACAGAGGTAAGTCATCCGTCAATCGTAACCTTTGTTAAAAATTAATCAATGATAATTTCTAGCCAAGCACAAGATAAATGTTTAGCCTTATGTATTTTATATGAAAGTAATTTCAGATAAATGCCCCCATTTCACTAATCGATGAACAATTATTGAAAGGTATGCGTAAATGAATAACTAACATCTTGCTTTTTAAAAACTTCAAATACAGGTGTTCCTTTTCTAGATATTTCTTCTTCATGAAGAATTTTCTTTGGTTGTGGAAGGAAAGCATTCCGAAGATTTTCCTAAAAAAATACAATTTATTTGATAAAATTTGAAAAAAAAAAAAGATTATTCTTTTTAGCAATTAAATGAAAGTAATTGATTGACAAATTAAATTAATTTAAGTGACAGGAAAAACGGGACATACCGCTAAACTTCCCAATAATGAAGTAACATTCCCTTTACGAGCTTCAATTCGAGATCGATAGAGGAATTCACCAAGTGCTGCTAACATTGATGCAATCATACCACCCATTAGAATATAAAATATTCCTGCTACTTTGCTCAAATTAAGACTTGCATTATGACCATCCTAAAAATTCATAAAAAAAAACCTCTTTTTATTTTTATTTTTTATTTGATACAATTCAAATTAGCTTAATTTAGAGATGTTTCAACAAAATCGATAACTCTTCGTGTTTAGTATTGAACGGACGAAAACAGTTCATCCAGCAAAAGAAATGACCGCGATGCCTTGATCGCATTCTCCTCGATCATACCACCATTTATTTTCCAGTTTCTTCAATTCACCACGTTCTTGCAATGCGAGAATTGCTAGATTGATATGATCTCTGAAGTTTCTCGAGAAAATATCAGGAATTCCGGAAGAGTTAAAAAAAAACAACTGATAGCTAGATAATTGCTTATCGATTTTAATTTATGATTTGACGATAGAAATTGATGAGAGAGAAATTATGAATATGTTTAAATAGCTGATATGAATGCTAGCAAGATGGAATAAATAGCAGGAGAGGTTAAATCTCTTCTATTTGTTCCATTTTGCCAACACTTATCAGGTTAACGATAAGTTAATTATCAAATTAAGCCTAGAAAAGATAAAATGATTTAATAGGTCATATCATATTCAACCTAATTGGTAATACTAGCAAGAAATCAATATTTTGTATAATTTAATAAGATACTTGTATGGAGAACCAAATGGTGTTGCAACTCCGTAACCAACTGAATTCAAATTTGATCCTTAAAAAAAAAAAATGGTAAAATTTAAAGAAAGTTAAACTAAGTGATATCAAGAATGAATTATTGTGATAATTCAAATGTATGAAAAGATTGATGAGTAATTCGTTGGATTAACTTGCCAACTTTCATCGTATCACATGGTTTTCTTGTATTTGCATATTCATTTGCTGTAGCTTCTAATAGAAAAGCATATCGTCCTTTATGACTTCGTACTCTTTCAATACCTTCTGCATAGGTTGATGTAAATACAGCTGGTACCTAATAAAATCTCTTTGTTAGCATATCTATATAAAACGACAGTTTTAGAAACTTAATTACAAAAGAAGAGATGAAAAAAGTTAAGTAATAATTACTTCATACTTTTCCTGTTTGTTTAATTAAAAAAAGTATTTTGAATGATTGCTATAAAAAGATTTCTATACTCGTAAGTTTCTACAACTGTTTCAATTAAATTACCTGTAATTCCAATTTCTATACTCGTAAGTTTCTACAACTGTTTCAATTAAATTACCTGTAATTCCAATTTGTATACTCGTAAGTTTCTACAACTGTTTCAATTAAATTACCTGTAATTCCAATTTCTATACTCGTAAGTTTCTACAACTGTTTCAATTAAATTACCTGTAATTC